CAGGCCATGGACTCTGATAAATTCAGAATTATAGTTCTTGCATTCATTTTCATTCTTTTTGCGATTTCTATCGTATGCATATTACTTTTAGCTTATTCGCATTCAGTGGGAGCACAACAACCGTATTATTTAACGTAGAGTTAGTAGAGTCAATAGAGTCAGCGAGATGCGGCTTAAAGAATACTTGGTGGTCACTTTGAGCATATTCATACCTTTGATAATCAGTTTTCCAGAGATACATACAGTTAGCATAATATTCGTTCTATATACCTTATACATCTTATTATTAAGCCTCGAGATCGATCCCAGACTGATTCCCGACAAGCGATGAACCAATCACGTCGAGTTAAGCGTGTATTGCGTCCGAGGACCAATAGCGTCCGTTTTACGTACTTCAGTTTTAATTATGCATGTTTCACAGTTTTATTGCAGTTTTGACACAATATCGAGTAGCGACAGCCAATGGGGCGAAGCCCTGATAGTTTTATATCGATTCGTAGAGTTTTACCTTTATTTTCATATTTCACAGACTGTATTGTCCACGACAGCCAATAGGAGCGAATCCTGGCTAATTTTGCATTATTTGATTCATTTCTAAGTTTTCTAAGTCATTTAGCCTATCGGAGCGCATGGAGCGACTCTGCCGAACGAACGCAGCGATCCAACCAATCAGAGACGAGCATGGCTCGAAATAGCGAGATTCGCGTTATGATGCGTTTAAACATTCAATTACAATTACTTTTATGTTTTCCCTGTCGAAACTGTTAAGATTTATTATTATTTTGTATGCGATACGCATTTCATATACTTACTGTCGGAATACTTACCGATGACGGTTTCCCGTCCAATGATTGGGCGAGACGATCCCACGAAGTCCGGTACCTGAAAGAAAAGGAGAATTAATCGATGTATTGATTCTAGTACGTGATACTTACCTGCGTAGCGTCGGATCGTCAAAACGACCTATGATTGGTCACTCGGAACCGTTCCGAGTGACTAAGGCTGGTTTCACATGGGGCGTAAGATGCGTATGCGTAACTTGCGTCAGCCAATCAAATCGTCTCAGTATTTAATCGTATCATACGCGTATAGTAGCTGAGATGATTTGATTGGCTCACGCAAGTTAGGCATACGCATCTTACGCCCCATGTGAAACCAGCCTGACCCGCGAACACGCACTTTGTGCTGTTGCGACGGCTGGCATTGGTTGACGCAATGCGGAGATCGCAGCGAGAGCCCATGTCCGCCGTCCAATCGGGATTCAGCATCGTGATTGAGCTGAGCCAGTAAACCGGCTCAGTTAGTTGCCAATTGGTCAACGACACTCGAAGGATCGTGTCGCCCGTAGAGCAGCGACGCGATTGGCCGAGGGCGAGAAGACGCGCGAAATGCACGAGACTCGCGCCGAAATGAGCGGCGTTGCGCCGGCGCGAGCAGCCATAGTGGGAGAGCGAGACCCGTTCCTCCCGGACAGTCCATCGTTGGCACTCGAAGCGGCAACTCGTACTTCGGTTCCGCGTAAATCATTCGAACCCGATCGACTTATCCCGTTGTCCGCTAGCGACATTAGCGTGATTATTGATATTTATTCGTGTTTGCGCGATAACGGGAGTTAATTGTGCGGCACGCAAACGACCCTGAGAGTCGTAATAAACTCAATATCGTCGGTACCGTTGAGAACGTGTCCGCGATCGTAGCACATGCTGTAAACCAGAGAATTATTAAATTGTTATTTGTTTATAATAAACAAAGAGTGTTTATTCGCGACCCCGGTCAACATCCTGTCCGAATATCCATGCTTTACGTGCGCATTACCAGGGCGTGGCCGACGGCCTTGAACACGTCCGCGACGTAGAACAGCGGCAGCCGTTACGCTGGAAGGAAGGAAGGGGCAACGCATTGCATCAAAGTTTCTGTATAGATCCAGAAAATACAGTGGCAACCGTAATTACAGCCCAAGTAGTAAGTGGCTATATTATTCAAATTTAACAGCGTCAACCGTTGATCCGGTCACAACCTAACCTTGCAGCCGCACGTATCACCGGAGACGACAAGGGCACCAACAGCAGCGGTCCCGAGAGGGACGAGGCGGAGCCACGTCCAACTTAGTTTTAAGATTAGCGTTCGCGTCCCGAGGATGGGTGTAAAGTCGGATGACGCTACCAAATCTTGGATTTCCGTTGGTCGATTACGAGCCATTTTCATTTAGCAGTTCCATTTTGCGATTGGACCGTAGTCTGGAGAGCGACCCCATCCGGCGGACCATTAGATGTAAGCGTAACATGCCGCGTCCGTAATTTTCTTTTTCTTTTGACGCAGTTGAGGCTCAAGCAGGGTAACTCCCCGAGAGGAGATAGAGATTTCTTTTGGTTTTACAATCACGCAATTTTATTTTGTTCCCGTCGGCGCGGATACGGGAGGTCGTGCGGCGGCGCGACAGGGCTTGAGCCCAACAATACTTTCCAGGAAAGAGGAGGCTCCCGCGCAAATGACCGGGAGTCTTCTACGCAACATGTCGGACGAGTCGTGACGATCCATGGAGCGGGAGGATGACGTACAGCGAAATGGTGGACCGTTACTGCGGAGCAATGGCTGCAGCGTCTCGGCGGTTGTCCGAGACCCGATAAGGTAGATGCGTGCCACAGAATGGCGAAAATGGCGTGCGAGCGGAAAATGGCGGACCGTCCACAAAATCATAGAATACGCGACGGGCGGGTAAAAACTAAGAGCCCTGATCGAAAAAGGGGGCCCGCGAAAAGTGACACGCGCGTCAAGAGTCAGATCCGACCAGTGGTGAGAAAGATGGCGGACCGTCGGGAAATTTTCGAACCGACGGCACTTCGGTAAAAAAATACGTCCCTGATGAGAGCACGGGGTCCCCAAGTCACGCATACGGGGTTGGCGACGTGTTACGGGAACGCGAACAGGAGATGGCGAACCGTCCGCGAACTCGCGCTAGGTGCGTCATCTACGGGGGTTGAACACTCCTGACATCGGGGGGCACTGCGCCAAGCCCATGAAACCGGGTCCCGATGAGACCCGTCGGCCGGGTAACGAAATGGCGGACCGTCCGGGAACTTGCCCTAGGTGAGTCATTCCCGGGGAAAAGACATCCCTGACTAACGGGGAAGTCCCCACGAACGTACATATCCGGTCGCCGTCGAAATCCGACAACCGGTAACGAAGTTACAGAACCGTCCGCCATTTCGCGACCTGGACATCTTCTGCGGGGAAAAACCGTGGAGGGTATCGTACCAGGTACGGAATAGGCGTCAGGAGAGGTCGGCGTCGTCGGCGGGCCCGGTGCTCTGCACCAAGACGTCTTCTTCAGGAAGTCGACCCGGGGTCGCGTAAAGAGACGGGGGAAAAGGCGTGCGCACGGGTCGGCGTCGTCGTGGATCCATAATTGCGGGAGTTTAAAAACCACTACCCGGGGTCCGTCTCAGGACGTCGATTACATGGTACTCCAAGTGGAAATTTCCACCGCGGACAAAGGGCACAGCCGGGGGTAGGCAACATGTATTGTAACTGCGTAGCGGCGAACATCTGGCGCACACCTGGCGACTCGAAAGTCGTAAACAACCATTGTTAACGCGGAGAGCGGAAAATTACCGCGAGGAGAAAGCGACCGAGAACCCCATGGTGGGGGTAACTCACTGTAGGTAGGGAGCCCGAGAGAGGAATATTGCTCGAGGCAGTCTCTCGGGGATGTTCGAGCGTGTAACACGTAATAAACTTCGCTCTGCTTCGTCGCGCTAAGTCACCGCGATCGTCATGCAAGTGCTATAATTGCGGCTCGCCAACATTCGTAACAACCGGGAACGCCTGCGGAACGCGTTAATTGTCGTCCTTACAAAGACGAACGGCCTTTTTAGACCGAAATAAGATCGTGCGTCGTAGATAAACGGGGCGTGTGTGCCTACATATACGAGCGTCCGACATCTTTTGTGACTTAAGGTTTTGTGAACAACCAACACTGGAAATCAATATAATTGAATAAATTAAACATTTTTTTCGTAAAAGATTTCGAAAATTTATTAAATTGGACTTACCTTCTACTTACCTGATCCATTGGCGTCGATCACTCGAAGTCCCTCGTTGATCCTGGATTCCGGTAGCAGCGACGATCCCGATCGATGACGGCGATGATCCAGCGGTGGCAGGAATCTGAAAAAAGAAGAGAATTAGTCTAATTGATAGTTCGAGATATCGTTTGATACTTACCTTCTCGGTGGTTCAAAGGTCAAACCGAGTGGCGACCGTTGATTTCTAAGGACACGCAGCGTTGATTCGTGCCTCCAGTGGTACCGTCCGGTTACAACCTAACCTTTTTTTTTTTTTTTTTTTTTAACGCTGGGGAAATCTTCCACTGCTGGGTTCCCGAGCAAGCCCGGTATGTGGCCCAGCAGCTCCCTCTGTTGTTGGAGGGGGAAGACCCCCCCGCTCTCCGGGAAGAGGACGAGGGGAGTGTGGGATTCCACGCACGCTGCGTTCGATAAGTGCAGCGCGCGCAGCCTACCCACTAAAACTCCAGCGTGTGTCCCGCCCTGGCGTTACGCGGGTGCCTCGGAAACGACGTAGTCATGACTTTCGAGACACCCGCCGCCCAGGTGCTTCTGAGATCAGAGGCGCTTCTTTCCTAATTCCCGCTTGGGAAATACCATCAATGTTCGACAGAGAGTGACACAACCTCTCCCTGCCGCGCCCTCTCTTGCGATTAGAGAGGATTGGGTTGAGGGACCCAGGAATCCCCGCCCGGGCCCCCAATCCCCTCAGTCTATATTCAAGCCCCCCTTTTCTCCTCTGAAAGGAGGGAGGGGGCATATATCAAAAAATATTCCAAGCCGCTAATTTGGTTTGGCACGTATTTCTCCCATCCGAACTTTGGAGGAGAAAAGGGGGGATGTATATTACCCCAACCTCCCCCGCCCCCGTGCTTTTCCCTCTTCCTCCCCTCTTATCCCACCCCGGTAGGATCCACCGAGGGTGGGAGACGGCGATTACGGGGGGGGGGGTCTCCATCTCCGGTTACGAGGTGGCAGTCCTCGCGGCCGTCGGAAAACCCCTCCGTCGCCGTCCACGTCTGTTTGGTCCGGCGCGGGTTGCTCTCCGCGCCGGATTCTCTCTGCCTCCTCCTTGGCGGCCATGACCCCGCCGCAAAACGATGCCACGGCGCGCCAATTTTGTTCCCTCTCGACCATTGCTGCCACTATGGCCGGGAGGGATAGATCTTCCCCAACGCTGGCGCGCAGGACCCGGCGCTCTTCCGCCCACGCTGGGCAGTGTTCCAGCGTGTGCTGCGCCGAGTCCACCGCCTGTGCGCAGTGATGGCACTGCGTGGTCCGTTCCTTGTCTATTCGACACAGGTACTCACCGAAGCAACCGTGCCCGGTGAGCACCTGCGTCATATGGAACGTCAATCCGCGTCCCCTTCTGTTGACCCAGTCCTCGAGGACCGGTCGGACGGCACTGACGACCCTCCTGCCCGGCAAAGCCGGGTTGTCCAAGTACTCTTCCCATTTGGCGAGGAGAGCCGTCGCAGCCTCTTGGCGTATCGCCTTTTTGACCCTGGCGCTGATCTCCACGTTCCGCCTCTGAAGCTCCCGCGTTCGCCGGAACACGTACGCGTGCTTGTCCGCCAAGAGCTCCATTGGAGGCAAACTGGCCAGGGTCGAAGCCGCCGCGTGCGAGGTGGTGCGATAAGCCCTAGCCACCCATATGGCCACCAGTCTTTGAACCCGGCGCATAGGCGCTTTTAGGCTCTCGGTGGCCATCATTTTCGGTGCCCAGATCGGGGCACCGTATAGGGCTATCGAGTGCACCACCCCGGCGTACAGTCGGCGAGCACCACTACCGACTCTCCTCAGATTAGGCATCAGTCGGCAGAGACTGTTAGCCGCAGCCGCCGCCTTCGAAGCCGTGCGGGCGACGTGTTTGCCGAACCCCCATGTGCCGTCCAACCATAAACCGAGCAGCTTAAGCCCGGTCTTAATTGGGACGCGGACTCCGTCCACCATCAGGGACCCATCGACAGGTGGCTTCCCCGACAGACGGCGGTCGTAAAAGTACGCCGCCTGTGTTTTCTGGGGAGCCACCGCGAGCCCGAGGCCCCTGATGGTTCTGACCACGCAGGCCACCCCTATGTTGGCCAGTCTTCTGGCCTCCTCCTATGTTTTACCCTCGACCCCCAGAAACGTGTCATCGGCGTAGCCGGTGACCCAGGAGCCGGGGGGAAGGGCAAGCCTCAGCACCAAATCGTACCCGAGGAGCCACAATAGTGGGCCCAGTACTGAGCCCTGCGGCACTCCCCGGGTTATCAATCTCACCCTCCAGACCCCATTCTGGTCCATATAGGCCAGTTTCCTGTCCCGGAAGTAATCAAATAAGACCCGTATTAGATAGCGAGGGACGTCGTGATACTCCAGCGCCCTCGCTATCACGGGCCAGGGCAAGGTGTTGAACGCGTTGGTAGTGTCGAAAGACGTTCCTAACAACACCCCACCCTCCCTCCAAACGGCCTCCACGCGGGACTTGATGGTGTTTATCGCGTCAATGGTTGACATGCCCGCGCGAAAGCCGTATTGGTCCGCGAACAGGTTCGGACCGTTCCGGGACAGGTGCTCGAGGAGGCGTTCGGCGATGATCCGCTCGAACATCTTGCTGTCCTCCCCGAGCAAACAAATCGACCTATATGCGGAGGGCGAGTCCGCTGGCTTGCCCTCCTTCGGGAGGAGGACCAGTTTGGCCATCTTCCAATCGCTAGGGAACCGCCCGGTTTTTAAGCAGTCCGTAAATAAGTTCTTTAGCTCACCGGATAGTTCCCCCGCGGCCAAGGCCCAGGCGCGGCCGGGTATGCCGTCAAGACCGGGGGCTTTCCCCCTCTTCATTTTCTTGACGGCCCTCAGGAGTTCCTCCTGGGTGACCCTCAGCTCCTCGCTCCAGTCCTCTTCGCGATTTGCAGCGAGGAATTCCCTCTCCCATCCCTCTTCTCCGGCAGGAAAGAGGGTGTCGATTACTTCCTCGAGGAACCGAGGGTCCATCGCTTCCGTTTTTGGGGGCGCCCTTGGTTTGAGTCTGTTCATAACCATTTTGTACGGGCGCCCCCACGGATCTTCCTCGAGCGTTTGGAGGAGCTCCTCCCACGCCCTGTCCCTGGCCACCCGTATGGCCCTAGAGAGGGCTGACCGGGCAGCTCGGTAACCCTCTCCAGCCGTTTCTATTGAAACGCAACCGCGCCCCGCTCGCGCGCGCATCCAAACACGCCGCGCCCGGACGGAGGAGCGCCTTAAATCCGCGATTTCCCCTGTCTACCAGTACGCGGCGCGTCTGTCGACGGTCTTCACCCGGGGCATAGCTACGTCGCATGCCTGCGCCATTCTGCCCCTGATACCGCCAACTTGCGCCTTCACGCTACGCCCCTCCTCGGGCGGTGCCGCGCGCCATCCCGATACTATTATTGCCGCTGCGAAAAGATCGACGTTCATCTTTTTAACGGCCCATCTCGGCGATCTGGCCTCCGCGTCGCGACGGCGGGCCAGCACCGCAGGAGGGACCACCGAAACCTCTATTTCTATGTAGAGGTGATCGCTCAGGGTTTCAGATTCCCCGATTACCCTCCAACCGCGCGTAAACCTCGCGGCGAGGGGATTTGCCCAGGTGACATCGATCACCGAGCCCCCGCGCGCGCGCACGCACGTCGGCGCCGAACCCACGTTTAATACGCACAGGCCGAACTCCGCCGCCCACGCCTCAAGGACCTGGCCCTTTCTGTTCGTGACGGGGGATCCCCACAGAGCCGATTTGGCGTTAAAATTTCCCGCCACGATTGTGGGCCCCGGGAGGTGTCTCCTGACGCAATTTTCTAGAGCCCCCAGAAACTCCTCGTATTGGACCAGGTCGATGTTCGGCGAGACGTACACGCCGATCACCGAGATGGGCTCCCAACGCGCCGCGACGCAGTGTTGTCACGCCGTGGGTTTTTCGACCCGCGCGAGAGCGTCGTGCGCATGCGTCAGCTGACGTCACAGCAAGTAACGTATACACTTCGGCCAAATATGAGGTATCGTCAGGTCCCAGCAAGAAAGGAAATGTGAAGGAAGTTGCAGGGGGAGAAGAAAGAGTTTATATTAAAAAAATAGAATGTAGTTAATATAAGTGGTAATAACAAAATTAATTTATTTGTTATTTTGTACGTCTGCAGCCGATTTATTATATGAATACCAACATTTGTTGCTAGGGTAAGGGAAACTGCAGAAAACCTTACCAGTATTAAAAAAATAACATTGTACATAAGAAATATACATATGAATAAATATACATGTGATAAATACTTCATATTGCCGCAGTCTGACGAAATGGAGGCATCTCAAGAAGGTTGCTAAAACAAAGTAAATTACTGATTAATAACAGATACATATAAGACAAGTCTCTACAAATAAAATACAAAGAAAATAATAGTGCAATTGACAATAAATAATTAAATATCTAAAAAAATATTAAAATAAATATTCAATAAATACTTAAAACTCTCTCAGATGCATGCACCTGTGCATGCTGGATCGTAGAAAGAAAAAAAATAAAAAAGAAAGAAATATAACAGAAAGAAAAAAGTATTGCACTGCTTTGATATGTTGATGTTGTCACACAAAGTAAAACTAAAAAATTACAATAGATAATCTGCAAAAAATAATTGAACACGAGTTGTGTGACAACAAAGTAAAAATATCATTAGTTATCAGTGGAATAAAAAGAGGAAAGTGTCCATGCTCAAAAATATTAAAAGCAATGGCAAAACACATGGGTCGCGGGAGCAAAAAAAAGATTTTCAAAGAAGTTGTTACATTTGTACTTGTTGAAATGTTACTAAAATATTTAAAAAATGAGGTTAAATTGACACTAGAGGGAAAAGTTATAATAAAAGCATGCGTAAAAATCAACAATTTCTATTTATCTTTATCTTGACTATTGTTAAGAGAATATAAATTCTTATAATTGTGCAGTTCTAAATGTGTTGAATCTACTTTGAAAGTGCGACAATCAGTGTTATTAGTTTGGAAACTAGAACGTACTTTACAAACTGCGTCCAAAGTGGCGACATCAAGCCGATTCCTCTTTTTATTTTTCACATCTGTAACAATTGAAAAAATTCTCTCTGCTTCGGCATTGGAATGTGGAAGTGACATAACTGCATGTACTAAATTTTCTAAATTTGGAAAAGACGGTTCACCATTCAAATTCTTTTTTTGAAAAATATTATTCCACATGTCATCAAGTTCTAAGTTAGCTAAATGAATTTTATCCGCGTCATTAAATACAATAGGCAACGTTCTCCACTCACAGGCTAAAGCCGTAATATCGGAAATTTGAAAATGTCTTGCTACATTTCTCAAGTCTGGAAAGGTAAGTCTACTTTCGTCGCTCAACGCTATACTTGGATCTAAAAATGTCAGTTCTCGAAACATTTCATTATTGTAAGGCAATCGTTTTATCATTTCTTCTAACGCGGTTATGTAAAAAGATAAACATCTGGATTTTATTTCTATAACAAATTCTAAAGACTCTAATTTTAACAAAGATTCGCATTCGGGACCAACATATATTGAATTTAATGGTAAAAAATTTTGCAAGTTAATAATTTCTAAAGAAATATTTTTTAACGCCTCAGGCAGCAAGAAATTGTTACCTATCTGCTTTATTAAATGCTCACTACTCTCAGCTAATTTATGAATTAAAATGTTCCTTCCTTGAAAGAACGCATTAAACTGATTAAAGAATTTCAAACAATATTTTAAAAATAACATATATGCTTTAATTTTATTATCATTTAAAGTATTAAAGATTGTTATTGCCGATTTATTTTTACTTTCAATAGTTTCCAGGTGGAAGTAATGTTTCAAGACTTCCCAGTTATCGAGAAGTCTAGTAACACACTTCTGTAAGACGAGCCATCTTGTACCTGATAATTTTAAGATTTTACGTGATTCTACTCCAAAAAAGCTCTGGAAATCGCACAGGATAGCAGATCTTTTTGCACTGGTCGAGAAATATGTAGCAACTGCATGCAAGACATCTTCACAAGAATCCGGCAATTTTGAACAAGCTTTACTCGATATAAGAGCTGAGGAATGGCATATACAATTTAATACAACAAGGGCCGGTACCTCTTTTTTTAATCTACTTGCAAAAGAATCTCGAACTCCTATCATCACAGAAGCGTTATCACAAGCCATTCCTACAATATTTGACAATGGTATTCCTTTACTTTTTAAACATTTTTCAAATGCAGAATATAATTTGTCTGCAGAACAATCCGTTGCATCTAATGCAACTAATTGTAATAATTGAGTAATGCACTTTTTGGTTTCTAATGATACATACTTTACTAAAATACAAAGCAACTTATCGTTTGAGATACTTGTGCTTTCATCTACTAAAATAGAAAATTTCTGACTTTTTAAAGTTGTAATAAGTTTATCGGTTTCGCGTTTTCCTAAGACATTTGTTATTAATTTTGTACATTTTGTTTTTGACATTTTCACATCGTTAATTACCGGTGCAGTTTTTTTCATTAAAGGGACCATGTGATTTACAGTTCTAAAAGCTATATTATGTTCCGCGTAAAAAGCAGCTATCTCTATGTCGGCTGTTTTAACTTTCTTAACATGGTCCGCATCTTTAATATTACATTTGAGCTTAGGCAATAAAGCAGATGGTGTGACATTACGGCTCTTACTAATATTCGTCACATGTAACTTTGTTTTGGAATGTCTTATTAAATCTGATTTGCCACATAAAATAACTTTATCACAAGCCGTGCAGAGAGCCTTTTTATTATCTTCGTGTGGCATTAACCATTCTTTAAAAATATCTATACTTAACCAAGAGTACTGGAATACTTTCATTTTTGATGTCCTCTTCTTTTGTTTGATGTCACCCGATGTCGACGGCTCTGGATGATCCATCTCCGTTGCGTGATTTTCTCTATCACTGCAGAATATCTTGATCTGCACAATATAAC